AAAGTATGCTAATGCTAGTATGCATTAAAGTATGCTAGTGTGGAAACACAGGGTTTCAGTGTACGATTTACTTCTCTTTGAGAAATCTCTCAAAGCTACAGCTTCAGCAGACTGTCATATGTATTATTTTTCTGATATTTTATGGCACTTTGTCTTCAGCATACACCTGCATTTTTTACTAAACATTTCCTTTTGTGCTACACAAAAGTCATACGGGTATAGAACGGCAAGACGGTGAGGAAAAATGACAATTCACATTTTTAGGTGAACCTTTCTTCTAAAACCCACTCACCGCAATGGTCTGGAGAACGATTCGTCCTCCTCTTGTGTTTTGATACTCCAGCAGGTGCTCCACCTGATCCCTCTCCTTCAGTGAACGCTCTAGAAAAAACTTTGAGAAGTTGGGCAGAGCCACATCATCTGTCAAAATACATTCCCTGTAATGAGACACAGAGAGACTGTATTAGTATTACTGTCTAAACAGATATGCAGGGGTCAATTATTTGTACATGAACAATTTTAACTCAGCATCAGTGCATACAGAATATTCAATTCTAAACACTCAAACATTCCATTAATATTCATTTATATTTTCTAAAAAAAATAATTTAGAACATGTGCACAATGCACTTTTAACATTAAATTGCTGACATTGACAAATGTATGTTCAAGTGTATTTCTGTGCATTTCATTAAAAAAAAAAAATACACAAATGTAAATAAACCTAAAAACAACGTTTCATAAATGTGGTGCCAAAGTTTGTAAACAGACCAAGGAGAGATACACATATGAAGCCGTCAGTTTGAGGTTGATCAGTTTATTGATGTTTGCCTCATTATTCGGGAGGAGATTCTGCTTGACTAGAGACATTTCTGAAAAGGAAAACACACAAAACAGATCAACTATAATACAAAATAAAATAGAAAACTTAAAAAGGTTGGTTGAGCAGAGGCGGATTCAAGACAAACATTACATGTACTAGCAAAATGAAAAGAAAATGTCAATATATGCATATTGCACAACTCTGTCTTACCGTGTTCAGTGCTGATACTGAGTGAGTGTATGACACGGAATTCTGTCTAACCAGATATAGATTTATCAGATGTGACGTAAGGCAGGGGAAAGTACTAAAGATATGTAACTCTCCTTGCAGTACGGCTCTTGGTTCAAAACGGGGATATACGGATTCAATACATAAATAAAAATATATTTTATAAATATAAACCTTATAACATAAATGTATTTTTGTTTCTATACATATGCTTCTGTGAACTGAATTCAGCCTGTAATGACATGGAAAGTTGCATATGTTGTATTAAAATTAAATATTTGTTTATTGTGCCACTGCCAATTTAAACCACAATTTCATTGTATTCATTTATTATATAAAACATTCCTGATTTAATTATATTATTACAAGTTTACTGCCTAAAAAAATTGCGTTGGTCTAAAATATTAAGTAGAGGAATCGGAGTAGAAAGTTAAGGAATCTGATTTTTTCCTGAACTTTCTATTCTACTTTAGACCAACGCAATGTCTAAAAGTCTGTGTAAATCTTTGAACATTTACATTCGTACACAACAAGATCTTCAACAAGTAATGGCCAATACGAGGAGGGACAACACAAAAACCCCAAATAATGCTGCAAGTTTATATTTGTACTGATTTGTCTGACGCCATTCCTGCAGATGCTGAAGCACAAGACAACCACTTTTTAAATAAAACTTGTCTAATAATTGTTATCTAAAATGTTATCAAACGCAACGTCACGTACGTACAAAGATACATGGACGACATTGTTTATATGGCTGTTGCATTATATATTCGCAGATTCTCTTTAACAGGACATGTAAATCATAGGCTCACCTCTTTAGCAACGACACGCGTCAGATTACTGCTGGAGAGATACAACTTTAATGGATTGATTTATAAATCCAGTTTATGTTCTCGTGTTTGTTGTTTCCTCGGCAGTAAATCTTCCCGTTGCTTTTACTCACAGCGACATCTACAGTTGCGGAGTCAAAACACATGCAGTCATGGA